ACACATACTAAAATCTTGGTAGAAAAAAGAGGAAACACCTCGTATTTGAGGTAATAAAGGGAAGTAAGAATATTTTTCGTTACATTTTATTATTAGCAGCATTAACTATTTTTGATGATCCGATAATCCTGATGCTCATTTATCATAACTGTGCCGATTTTAACCCTCAAATGATATCGTTGCATTGTAAATGCACGTTAATTTATATTAAATTAGTAAAGTTAAATAATTATTGTATTTTATAGTAGTTCATATTCTTTTAGTAATAAAGTAATGTCTATAAGAAATCGTGAAACTGTACACAAGCAGATCGACGCCGTCGAAACCATAAAAATTCGACCAAAACGCAACGACGTATGTGATGTGAAAGAATATCTCTTTCCAGTCGGGGTGGTTCCCTCTTCTCAACATTAGCTATTCCACGGTCAGGTTTTACTTTCAACCCTTTTCAACCACGGTTCAACCCCTTCCTTTTACCTCAGAGAGTGATAGCTTTCGAAACGTTACATTATACACCAGGAACTCCTTTCGCTGGTACACCGGTTCATCTTTGTCTCCTTTGGTCGCCGGATAAAGAGAGAACGAGCAGAAGGATGGGTAAGGAAGTCGAAGGAGGAAAAGAAAAAGAGGGAAAAAACGACCAGAGCAAAGAGATGATTCAGGATGAAAGGGCAAGAAAAAAAGAGCAAAAAGGAAAGGGAGGAAGAGAAGGGCAAGAAGAAAAATGTAAGAAAAATATCTGAAAAAAGCAGAGTATGCAGTATGTATAATATACGTATGCATATACATATATGTAGATCCTCTCATCTAAAATCTCATTATACGATTACTCTAACGTATAAACACTTTATCATTTGAACAGAATATATATTTAATAATAATAAATGTCTTTCCTTGTACCAAATTATTTTATATGTTATTGCATGTTTGTAATTTTTCATAATTGTAGAAAGAATTTACTAAAATATAAGATACAAAATTTGAAAAAAAGATAAACATGAATAATAATGTATTTATTACGTTTCATATATTGTGTAATGTGATTTTTATGCTTCATACACACGTTTATTGCGTCTAATTCCGTGAGGAAACAATGTTTCGTACATAAAATGTCATAAGAACAATTTTTCTACAAATTGAAATAACAAACAAAAATAGTGAGAGTGCGTTTTCGCACGCTGAAACAAACAATGGGTCAGAGAAAGAATGTAGTTCTTTACGCTTGTTGTTTCAAAAAGTTAGTTGTTTCAATAGTCAAAGTGATACGCCACAATTTTATCTCCGTATTTGTTTTCAGAGGCTCTACCGTATCTACATTTTACGAAATTCTACCTTCTTGCACGTCTACGTCCACGTTTCCCGGCGTCATATGTTTCGTCATTTCCTTGAAAGTAAACTATAATCCAGCCACTCGCACTGGCAGCCTCTCCTTCTTCGCGGAAATAAAGATTCTGGATGTTCAAGATACTTCCAGCTGCGTCATATCTTTCGGCCTTCAAAATATTTTCAAAAAACTCGTCGTATTGAAAGAGTTTTGAGAATTTTTGAGGAATTTCACTCAAAGCGAGTCGTGCGCGTTTACTCATAATGATACTCATCTTGGTAACACTACTCTTAATAAATCGCAAGTCGTCGAGAGACTTCTAAATTGGACAACTCGCGAAATACATTTTCTCGTGGAAACGTGTTGTACAGGATCGTTCGTCCCCGATGCTTGAAAGTTCAAGGAACGTCGTAAAAGATGAGAAGTGCAGTTCGAGGAAACGAATAGAGCGACACCACTAAGCATAATCTTATGAAATTACACGGAACTTTCTGCGTAAAGTGAATAAAGGAAGTAGTAATTCGTGTACGACGGCGGAACAGCTTTTCTCCCTGCAGTAAAAGCGCGGGCAAGCCCTTGGATCTTTGGCGAACCAACTCGGGTCATTGGGAACGAAATACGATCGTTTGAATTAACCGGGCAATTGACAAACAAGTTGCGACTTTCTTTCGTAAATCGGCAAAAAGATGAGAGCTGGGAAATCTTCATCGAAGAATGTTGAAATTTTTTCCCCCAATTTATTAAAAACATCGTGACCATTGGATTTTATACTCTCGCTCAAAGATCTTGAAACACTTTCGTTCCTAATGTACAGTATTCATCGTGGTTTTTAACGAAGATCTTTTGTAGAAGCCCTCTATAACTAAAATTTATTTATAGGAGGAAACGATTATCAATTAATAGCAGAAATTTACTCTAAATTCAAAATTGACGATTTTGTTTTGATTAGAACTGTTATTTGACAGTATTTTGAACAGCAGTTTTTTCTAAAACAGCAAAGCTGCAAATGCATATAAAATAGAATTTTAAAAATTTTAATATTTATATTTATATTTTAATTTTTTGATATTTATATATGTATACATAACTGAATAATTTTCAAGGTACTACGTACTATGTTCATCGAGAGCCAATAAATTCAATATAAAAATGAAAATTCGATGCGTTGTGTAACATGTAAAAAAGAAAAAAGAAGATACAGGTGTAATTTGCAAAAACATGCACGACAATCTCAATCCGTTGTAACGTGAACATTGGCGTTGTACGGATTGATACAAGGGGCTAAGATTGAAACTTCTTTTTTACTTGGCACTGAAACTTCCAGACAGATAAAATCACAAGATACATTCGATAATAAGCAAACCCGGTCAAATTCAATTATACGATTCCCGAGGGCAAGTAATCTAATTTGCACGTCATCAAGTCACGCGGTGAAACTAGTTCGAAGAGCGAGGCATACAACCGACCACATGTATCAAATATTGAAGTTCCTAGATTGCGCTGGACTGCCCTTAGGGATACCAAATAACTGACAAGCCCTTGTCGAATTGTGGTTTGTAGTTAACTCTAATCTGCATGAACAGACATAAGATTTCGAATCACCGTTTCGAATAGCGTTCATCAATTTGCTGAATCGGGTTACCCTTGCTACACTGGCAAATTTTTCCAATTTACAATGCCACTTCATCCATAGACCATACCTGTACGATTCAACGTCCTCGAGAGCAGAAAATCGATTGCAGATAACTAGCATTCAAATTTAAAAGAAAATATCATGGTCAATGATTTAATATAATGGATGAGAATAAGAAATTGTTTGTTGGTTGATTGATTATTATTCATAATTCTGTTTCTTGTATTGGGCTTTCTATTTCGATTGGAACTTTAATAGCAAAAATTTCTTTTACTTTAAACATGACTTTCGGGGAGATCATACGCGACTCTAAACTTTCAAATTTCTCTAGTAATTTCACTTTATTTAAAACTACTGTTCTGGGGTTCCATCCGAATTATTTAAAAATTTAAAGATTGTTCTCAATCGAGATATTCGAAGATATATCAATATTTTCATGGTTAAATGGTTAAAATAAATTCATCTATACTTGTGTAATAAGTACACAGTGTACATAAGCATGCATATAATAAATAATAAAATATTTATATTGGTTACAGTTCTATTCACTTTAGTGATTATACTATACTATACTATATTGCATTTTAAATTTTACTTCAATGATTTCCAGAAATGGGCAGGCAAATTCCGCGAATATGCCGAACTTCCATCGATCAACACATCAAATTAAATATTAATCCCAATCAATCTCATCGAACCTTAAAAATACAATCTAAAAACTACGCTTATTTTTCGAGTAATTGTTGCTTTATATGCAAATGAAATTTCAGGAATGGCGCAGAACGTGGAAATTTATGATAAAATCAACAGCACAATAAATGAAAGTAATCGTGCCAGCATCAGAAATTTATTCCATATAAACCGTTCTTTCCGCGAACGCGTTACAATCCGGCCGGCCGGCGCAAAAATGAAAACCTGAATTTAATAAAGTTGAAAACATTTATTTCTATTCGTTTATTTCGTTCATTAAAGCCAAGAAAATTCCCGCGCGCGTTTAATTATGCACCTCGCTGGCGATCGCGCAATTTCGAAAATTGATCAGCGCGTAAGCGTAAATATAATATTACGTCTAATGTAATTGCACGTTCGACTGTATTTCGGACGAGATATTCAATCTTTGTTTCAATCAATATCGCGAGAAACCGCATTTTCACGTGAAAATCGATATCGACGTACAAAAATACATGTCGCATTCGTAATTAGAACCATTCACTGCATTTAAAGTCGTCCTATTGCAGCTTTTTGCCGTGGACAAAAATATACAGACACAATACTATGTGGATACTTTTTTCACACTTTATATTTACTTGAAAAGAAGATATAAAATCATTGATAAATGAGTTTTGAGTGTTCTACTTTGCACAAGTATTATTTTTCCAATAGTTCATTAAGTACTTCACCGACAATAATCTCCTACTCATCTGTACATCCACCATTAGTTTATACAACTGCTCTTACAACTTTGTTCAAATTCTATAAATCTCTCCAAAATACCCCTCCACACTATTATAGAATGACCTCCATGCTTAACAATAACTATCACGAAATTGTCATTTAATTTTCCGCAATTAGATGCACCGAATAAACATTTATTTATTCAAGAGATTTGAATAATTAGTTTGTTCAATTTAATATTGTTAAAATCAGATAAATACATACCGTATGTTTATACATATTGCATCGAATTCGTACAATATAAATCGTACTAAATTCAAGTTGATTAATGTTTGGAGAAAGTATGTACACCACTAAGGGAATAAAACAATCAGTTGATGAACGATGATTTAAACAATATGCTGCAACTGAGTAAACTTTGAAAATAAAACGAAGACTCGGAGCATCTTGAGACTTTTGCTTAGGACCCAACAAGAAATTCTTTCGTAACAGTAGACAAAAAAATCATTAAAGAGTCACGTTTGGATACAAAATTCGATTGAAATATTACAGGCTGATGCGCGTGCATCATACCACTGATAGCCGCTGATACGAGCTACGTGACAAGACACGTCTCACGCGGCTCGTATGCTGAGCGCTGAATATTTACGAGAAGGTGGAGTGTGAAAACAAGAAAATATAAATCAATTAGAGGAATGAATCCGCGATAGTGACGAGACGGCAGAGTTGTTAGAACCATTCTCGCGCTTTATCTCGCTCGCTACACACATGAAACTAAAGGTAATAGAAACTTTCTCCCGCGTGTGGCCGCAATGGGCCACTTGTCTCACAGGTTAGTAGAAATTCCATCTTTTTTCTACGCGGCATACTATAAGGGAAGTTCGGAACTGGAATATTCAAAGAAATTTAGAACTTCGCGCAAGTGTAGTGCAGTGTGCTAATAGAAAAATTTCTTGTTTCTGCTCAGAAACCTGCCCGAGGAGTGAAATAAATCTCGTCTTTCCATACATTATCGTTTTCCTACAAGTATCAGTGTCTCAATTTGTATGTCAAGAATTTTTCACTGAACGACGCATATTCCGGTTTTTTTTTTTTTTGTATGTGATTGCCAAATCTTGCATTCGCATTAGGCACGATCAGAAATATTCGCAATATTTTTATGAAAACTGATTTTCATTTTTGTGAAATAGTCCGACTTTTATTATAAAAAGAAAATTTGTAGCAATTCGTTCGTTTTCTTCTATTTGTCATTTGCTTTTGTCCATCCTCCATTTTCATAGAAAACAATTTTAATTTTTTATTTCTTCTCATACAATTTCGTAAAAATTCTTTCCTCGTTAGCACCACGTGAAATACTTTTGCGCAAAGTTTCAAATTCTTTTCTTTTTTTTTTTTTTTTTATTCTTTCAATCGTCAAACTTTCCTCGTCAGTCGGATACAGATATCGACGTTACAAAGATATATTACGTGATCGTCGCACGTTTCACGCGAATTTCCAAAACATCAATCAAGGATTTCACCATAGTGGCTCTGATTGCTACGAGCATCGGGCTGATGATCGGTTGGACGTCACCTTACCTAGCACGATTGACCGCGGAAGACGCTGAGCTACGTATAACCGACGACGAGGCGTCATGGGTCGTTTCTTTGTTCCCATTTGGACGTTTATTCGGTGCCACCGCCGGTTCCATCATCATGGAGTATTACGGCAGCAAAAGATCTTTGTTAATATCTGGAATACCTATCATGATAAGCTGGATTTGCATAATATTTGCCGACTCGGCCTTTTGGCTTTACATGTCTAGAATTTGCGCAGGTAACCTATTTTCTATTCTTCGTGGCTTTCTTCGGGCTCTATCTTGTCACTTCGGATACAGTAAAATATCCTCCCACATCCGAACTAACAATGAGATAAAACTGTTCAGTTGAGCTTCGCTCGCCTCTTGTGTCAATTTGATATATTTCTCTTACGAAATGTTATGTTACTTTGTGGCACAGAGATACAAGTACCTACACAGAAGTCGTTCACTTTCGCAACTTTGAGAAAAATATATACAATATACTGCAAAAGTAGAAGTTTCATGCTTTAAACTGAGCTCAATTGGATTTTTCTACGATTTTCTCTCGCTATAATAAAACCTATTATATTATGTATAATGTAAGCTATAATAGTTCAAAACGTCGAGTGGATACATCCATAATCAGTAAAATCTTATATTCTGGTAAGTTCTTTTCGCAGTTGTGAAACATTTCGCACATATAATAATACATAATAAGACATTTTTGGAGCATGCGGACGGTGCAAGTTCAGATTTGGGAGGCTCTGTCGTACGATTATTTCGAGCTTCTGACGTGATTTTTTTTTTTTCAGGTATCACTTTCGGGATGTTCTACAGCTGCTTCGCTCTTTACATCGGCGAAATAGCAGCGAGCAACATCCGTGGCGCGTTGGTCAGCACAATAGTAAACGGAATGCCACTCGGATCGTTGATCGGCAACGTAATGGGCAGTTACGTGTCGATGATGTGTTTCGGACTCGTGAGTCTAATCCTGACCGTCTGCTTTATGATGATCTTCCCGTTGCTACCGCAGTCGCCCTACTATTACGTGCGGGACAATAACGCCATCGAGGCGAAGAAAACCATTCAATGGTATCGTCGAAAGTCGAACGTGAACGTCGAGTTGGAAGTGATCGAGAACTTTGTACGATCCTCCAAGCCGAGCAGCTTGCGCGACAAAATTGCTCAGATTACAGAGAGGAAGAATAGGCGCGCGTTCTCCATAATCATACTATTGTTCATTTTCATGCAACTCAGTGGGATAAACACCGTGACGTTCTACATGGAAATAATCATCAGAAGTGCGAAAGTGACGTTGCTGAAGCCAGCGACCGTTGTAATCATTTCCGGTGGAATTGGTACGAATTTTACACGAAGCGAATAATTCTTATATGTGTCTCTCGAGACAGTGTAGACGTTTCCGTTTATTCTGTTATAATCCGTGAATTTTCCGATACAACCGAATTTTCTTTCTAAGGTTATGGTTACACTGGACACGTGTTCTGACAAACTATCACTGCGACGAGTAAGTCAAGGCGATGAAACACGAAGAACGATTATAAATAAGTTAAACTTTTTATATTTTACGAGGAACTTTGCAATTTAATCGAGTCTCTGTTAGCAAAACACAAATATGAGATTTTCCATTGTCTTTATTTTTAGAATATTGTCTTTATATTTAGAATATTGAATTTTTAGCGTAATTTATAATATTTCTATCATAATGCTAATCATGGTTTGATTTAAATACTCTATCTCTGGATCTAATAGATTTCTCCCGTGTTCAACTACATATCGTATGAAATTTTTTTTATTTCATTTACTCTCTGTTACTCGTTACTTATTTCAGAAAGAGAATCTGTAATTTGTTTGTAGTTTCGTGCTTAGTATTTTGTAACCAATAGCAGACCAACGAAACCAAAGTTCGATTAATCATATAATATAATCACGTATTTCGCTGCATTCCTTTAATAACATTCTATACGTACGAAAAAAGTAGAAAAACGAAAATATATGCAATGCTAAATACTACGATTGTTTGTCAGAACACGCTATAAGTATAACTCACAGATAAGACATCTCAAGATATCAAAGAAGGAAGAAATTCTTTTGCTGTCGCTCCTTTTTATATCTCCTCTTCTACTCCGAGAATTCTCGAATCGTTTCCAAGACGCGATATTACGCATTTCAGCTATAGTGGTCGGTTGGATCAGTGTGTATCTAATCGATCGGTACGGGAGAAGGATTCTCATGGCGGTGTCATGCGGCTGCGTGATCGCCTCGCTGATGCTTCTGGGACTGCACTTTATGCTGCTCGAGCAAAATTTCGATCCAAAAGATCTGGAATGGCTGCCGATCGTGGCCATGATACTGTTCATGTTGATGTCCATCGGTATTGTACCGGTTCCGACTACCATGCTCAGCGAGCTCTTCCCGGACGATTTAAAGAGCCTCGCCGGTTTCACCGCCAGCATCACGTCCGCGTTATTTTCGTTCATGAGCAGCAGAACCTATCAACCTCTCGTCGATCTCATGTCCGAAAAATACGTATTCTGGGTGTACGCGTTCATCATGATCCTTTGCCTGGTATACTCGATCATCGAAATGCCCGAGACCAAAGGGAAGACATTGCAGGTAAATTTTCTGACATCGTTCGATTGTTGAAAATATCCCAGAACACTTCTGTTCTACATTTTGTCCTTACGACATATTCCATTTCATTTTTACTTTATAAGTATTCCACATTGTGCATATTGAAAAAGTAGAATCTTCGTCCCTTTGAAACAATTTCCAATTGACTCGAGTGAAAGTTTTTTCTTATTAATTTACTTTCTATCGAGGAATGAAAACGAGTTGATACGTACTTGAAGCACAAGTGCGTGATGAATATAGTCGTGATGTTAGTCTCGAGTCGAAAGTTTGCCAATTGGAATTTAATAGGAAAGGTGTTGGAGTTGACTTCTCGCGGCGAGAATGTGAATAATGACAGAATGATGTAGTAGCCAGTTCTTGTTGTACAAGCAATAGACGAATCAGTCATTGTTCAGTTTCCCCTTGACGTAGTATTAAATAATCGATATAATGTCGGCAGGAAATACAAGACATGTTGGCCAGCGAGAGCAAAAAGGGTGGGAGGAGCTCGGAGATAATAAAGACGGTACGAAAGCAGACTATGTCCGAATAAAATGTAACGTAAAAGTAATCTTGATAAAAATAAATAATGCTTTTATAAAAAAAAAAAAACAGATATTTCAACTACTCCTGTCACACATACTTATCCCATAAAAAAAGATGAAAATGACAGAAATTTTGCTACAACTTTAAAGCAAACTGTAGATAATTACACGTATCTTATCTTATCATGAAAAGCAAACAGTATTTGGAAAATAGTTACTTATATTCTGCGAAAACGCGAAGAACATTGCAGTTGGCATGTTAATTACCATACCGGTGATCACCGGTGATCAGCATTTTTATTTCAGAAATAAATATTTCAGAACGATTAAAATAAGATAGTCCAATGAACAATCTTTAAATAACTAGACGATACTAAAACTTCTGTATAATGTTACAATAAAAGTACAAAGAAAGCGTATTTTTCATTTGAAATATCCCATAAACAGAACGTGTAAATTTCGCGTCACAGTCAAACGCGTTAAACATATTGGATTCCAAAAATACATGCACGAAAATATACTAATGTCAGACATATTAACACATAAAAGATCTTCAAGTTCGAGACTAAAGTTAAATTGACACTGACCTCTAAAATATCTATACACTTCATAATACACTTTATTTCAATCGCTTAAATCTGTAAACACATCGTTTGCACGATTGTACGAAATCGAAATAAAAATTCACCTGTTTAACTTGTTGATACAAAAAAAAACGTCTCATATTTTATTTAAAAATAAGATATTATCACGCAACCCGGCCATGTTTGCTGTAAAATTGTGCACGTGTCAGACAAATGATGATATTGCTGATAAAAATAAAAGCAACATTTACTCGTAAACAGTAATTCAGTTTTTGAATATTTGCAGACTATTAATCGTGTTATTGTAAACTAAACTACTTTGGAAGTAGAACGTGTTATTATTGTAAACTAAACTACTTTGGAGGTAGAACAAATGAACGTCGTAAAGTGCATATGATTCGCAGCAATATTCGTTAAAAAAAGAAACCTGTTTTACTGCGAAAACGATCAACTTCACTTCGACAAGAGCTTCCCCGTATGGAGGAGAAGGAAACAGTAAAAAGAATATTCTCGAGGAAATATTGTAGAATAATTCGTGCATACGTTATCTTATCTATACTCAATGCAATCCGTATTCAAAGATATATCATTTTAATGAAACCGACACATCTGCCAACCACTCACTGTCACCAGAAAACTCATCATGACCGAGAGACGTGAAAAATTAAGGTTTTGGCCGCAATGGATTGCTGCTTCTGGAGGTAAGACCGCAACTAAACTCTTTTTGGGGGGAAATCTTAATTAAAGATTTATGGGGAATTAAAGAGTAATAAAGTGCGTAAAATGCAATTTACGGAAAGCTCTATAAAATATCCAAAATATAATATTTCTACACTTTGAATTTGCGAGTTTGCGCAAGAGTCCGCGAGTTGATTAATTTTATCTACATAACGTAATGTTACAAATCATATGGAAAGCATGATTTCCAAATTTTTTTCCAAAACGTTTACAGTGTGGCTACTGGTGACAGAAGTGGGATTAATGGGATCATGGTCCTCTCCGTACATCGACTATTTAATGTCACCAGACGCTCCGTTTCCGACCACGCTGTCGGAATTGTCATGGGTGGTGTCGTTGCTGAACTTCGGACGGTTTTTCGGCGCCGTCGGTGGCGGGATATGCATCCAGTATTTCGGCAGCAAAACGACCGTCTTTCTCACCTGCGTGCCCATCTCGTTAGGCTGGCTCTTCATCATCCTGGCCAACAGTGTTGAATGGCTGTACGTCTCGAGATTTTCCGCCGGCATTAGCCTGGGAATGCTGCACGGCTGCTACTCCATATATCTGGGAGAGATCGCAGATCCGAGTATCCGAGGGGCATTGATAGCATTCGGCACAGGCGGACTAGTGACTGGGAATTTTATAATGAGCGTCATGGGAGCGTATTTGCCAATGTCCGTGTCAGCCGCGATAGCCCTGGCTCCTTGCTTTCTGCTGATGGCCCTTTTCCTCTGGCTGCCAGACTCTCCTCATTACCTGATCAAGAAGAAGCTGGACGAGAATGCCAGGTCGTCGATCCAATGGTATCACAGAGGCTGCGACGTGGAATCGCAGTTCACGGATTTACAGCAGTTCGTGGAGAATCTGAACAAACAGTCGTTCTCGGACACTGTCAAGGAGCTGAAGGCCGTTCATTTCCGCAAATCGATACTCATCGTTATAGTTCTCATGGTGTACAGTCAAATAAGCGGGATTAACAACATTTCATTCTACATGCAGTCGATTCTAGTGTCGGCGAAAGTCAGTGTGATTGATCCAGCGATAGTGGTGATCATAGTGATGGGATCCGGCCTCATCGGGCCTTGTTTATCGGTGTTTCTGATGGACAGATTTGGAAGAAGGATTCTCGAAATAATGTCGTGCACCGGTGTCGCGTTGTCGCTGAGTTTGCTATCGATCGAGTTTCAACTGTTGGATTTCGGTTTCGATCCGGAAACAGTGGAATTCTTGCCGATCGTCGGATTGATTGCCTTTTACGTGACAGTTTTCTTAGGCACTACGCTCGTACCAACAGCCATGCTGGGCGAACTTTTCCCACTTCATCTGAAACCCGTCGCGTCGTTCGTTATCAGCAGCTTCGCAGCCATCGTTTCTTTCATCTCGACCGCCACTTACGTGCCACTGCTTAATTTCATGACCGAACGATATCTGTTTTTCTTCTATGGTCTGTTAATGGCCACGGCTATACCGTTTACATTGATCTTTGTGCCCGAGACGAAGGGGATGTCCTTGCAGGAGATTCAGGAACAATTGAAAGGGAAGAATAAATCTCAAAGTACATCCAATGTCAATAAAACGAAACTCTCTAACGAACAAAACGCGGAAGTATTTGTTATCTGTGCCAATTAAGTTATCACGCGAGATTGTAGATACAAACAGCGTGATTGCGAAAATATTTAAATATTTCCTTTTAAATGTAATTCTTCTTCTTTTTGTTTTCTCAATATCGGCTGTGATATTAATATCACTAAAAGGAAAGTGAAATTATTATTTTATAATCAGACTTTCCATAACTTTGTTCTATATAGCAATCCAAGAGTTTCGATACCATTTCTTAATAAATGTATTAATCGAACGATACATAAATAAAAATTACCTTTCGTTATCTTTATTAGTCATAATAATTCATCGTGGTAATTCGACGTAATAACTAAGACTACTGGTTAAAAGCAAGCTCCATGAATTTATATTTATTCATTTTGCTATCCTAATTCGCGTTGAACATTTTCAACAAATAACGATACACTCTTGAAACTTTGATGAAGGTAAATTCTGATTGATTCTGAAATCAGGAAATCTTGATATGGTATCACCGCGTGGTTATCTCCCTCGCGAGAAATTGTCTCTCAGTCGAGGAAATATTTCGCTGGAACCGATGAAAGCGCATCTCAAAGAATTCGCCAGTAAATCCAGAAACGACGAACGAAGGCTCGGATAATAGAAGAAAAGGTCGCGATGCCTGTTGTTCTTTTACCTCCCATTCTTCCTTTAACCGAGAAACGATGTAGCTATTTCTCTTTGGGGCGGACACACGCCGCCGTAACGTCGACGATGGAACTCGGCCAGTTTCATATTTTACAAGACGATATTTCAGCCGCGCTGGCTACGCCATGGCACCGTTAAAGGTGCCACACGGTCCCATGGTGGCAGTGGCTGAAAATTGGACGCTGCCTTATCTCACCCGGGTCATTGCACGATGACTATCCTTGATGACCTTATAAACGCCAGAGAGCGTCAATAACGAATTTACGACACGATTTTTCTTCGTTGTTAAATTATACACGCGCGTAGCACAAAGAGAAACTCTAATAATAAATTTCTCGTGGGCGGGCAAAGGAATGTAAGTCGGAATTATTGGTTCTGGAGAAAGGCACTCGCAGGCTGTTTAAATTTAAAGCATGATGTTACATCAGGTGTAAGATTTTGGTAAATGGAAGTTGATATTTATGCATTCATGGAAAATTCCAAGATGCAAAAATGACGCGAATGTGCACACGTGATATACAAATATATATAAAATATACAAACTTGGATGTATGTAAATATAATATATTATCATATATAACAATGTATTATAACTATGTGTGTATTTTGGACATTTCATAAATGTATTAATAAATGTAAAAGACACAAATAATATGTCTGGCTAGATTCCATTTTTACAAAAACGTGAATCTTAATAAAAATCTAATAATATATAAATGCTTTACAGATTCTTCACAGCAAAGTATCGTTTCATTTTCCTAAATTTGAAACACACGTATTATAGTCTACACTTGTCCTGAGACTTTCAAGCGCGGATCCGTTCAAGACGTTTATCATTTTTTCAAAAATAATGATCTGCATTACTTCGACTCGTTTTAAAATTTAACTCGTGCGCCAGAGAAATATCATCGAGTACGAGAAACTGCCGCCGACTACGCCGGGACGTTTCATTTTTTTTTTTTTTTCAAAACGCTATGAACAACGCGAGAACTATTTTGAACAATAATGGTGGAACAAAAAGTGACGGGGTACGATTAAAACAAGCGACTGGTCGAAATACGAAATTGCACGATATTATATTACACGATACGAAAGAATGATTGGTCACAGGCTGCGCAACAACGACACTAGCTAGAATACGTACACGCAACATTATACTACGTTATATTTCCGTGACGACGAATCGAACGTCAACGCGGCGAATTAATTACTTAAACGTCACCGTTATTTCATAATAAATGTTTCACGTATCGCGCGCGCATCCACCGTTCCTCCGGGCCGTACGCGGCCGGTTATCATTTTAAATTCATTACCGTGCAACCCAATTGCGCGGGTTCGGAGAGTCGCACGAACCAATAACTCTTTGCTTCATCCAACGGCGGGATAATGGTCGCACGGGCCAACTTCGCTCTCTGACACGCACCAATGCTGTTAAGTTATTGCTGTCTAGCTCGGAATCGGACTCGCGATAAACCGATTTCCAACGATCGGGAACATTCCGCGGAATAAAAGATCGGTAAGAATCATACCACGCAATATGCAATTAATGCAACGTCCATTCCAACATTTGCAAGGTGCATCAAGCTTTTAACAGCCACGCTGTTGTCCGTCCGCTTCATGAAATATTCATAAATATTCACTTTTTCTTTCGATTACCATTTCACGAACTTTCCTCCCTCTGTTTCTCTTCCTCCTTTTCCCTTTTTTTCTTTTCTTTTTTTTTCTTTTCTTTTTTTTTTTTTTATTCCCTCAGTTAAAAAGTTCGATCGTTGCAGTTTAGTGGATGCAAAAAAACATAAAAAAGAAAGGAAACGAGGAGACACATCGTAAAAAGGGCGATTACGATGTTCGTATTCGCTGAGGCGGAATATTCATGCTGGAGAATGGAAGTTTAAATGTTGAACGTTGGACACGTTCGACCGGAAATAAGATGCCACAGCCTGACGATTTGATGATTCTCGATCACGCTCGATCCTACTCAATTTATACCTTCGGAAAAGTTGAAAATTGGATCGGGCTCGGTGAACGGGTAAACCTCGCTACGAATTGTAATAAGCTTCGACGTGTATCTGGATATTATTGTACGAATATAGATAGATTTAACGAACGAGTTAACGTAGTAAGAGTACTTATTTCCGAAACTGCAGCTAGCCTGATACGACTGACAACTGCTGGCGAAGTTAATGTCTGAGATGAACCGTCTGAACGGAAAATTAATAAAAGCAACGAGACAGTAAACTGCAGTAATATCGAATGCCTGACGTCTCTTCGTCAGAAGTGGAAAAAATACAGAGATATTTGAAGATGACGACGACATGCACGCATTCGCACAAAACTCACAAAGTTAACATCTGAGTTGTAAATGTATGATCGAATAAAATTGACTGTATATGTAAAATCAACTGCACCAAGGCAGAAAAATGCGACAAACGACTGATGCAATCGAGCGATTCACGTTTCTTCGTTTCAGCAAAAATGTTTGCAGATGATGATATCTAAATACTAATATTTGGATAAAACTGAATTTAACGCCGAACGTACGTTGTAGAAGCTTCCTTGATATAATTCATTGATAAAATTAATATCTAAAGTGCGTATCTCGTCGACTCGCAACGAGGCGGAAGACTGCAACAAGAGCTAACGCAATCGAGTGACTTGCGTTTCTTCGTTTCAGCGAAGAAAATACGGAGATGTTTGATGCCACCTTAAACCTTTCTCGAGAACAAACAAGATAGTTTATCGCCGCGCGGATATAAACGCTTCTCTCGACAGAGTCGCGGAAATTGTACGCTTAAAGGCAAGCACTGTACGTTACTGGCTTTCTTCGAGTTCTACACGGTCCGTGGTTTCGAAGCAAACTCGCACATTTACTTTCGGCCTGTCTGTCTGTACGTGTTAAAAAAGGACAAAGTTAAAATTCGTTTAAATTATTCTGATTCGTCTGCAAATAACGCAGCTAATTGATAAAATTTTATTTTATTGCTCGGAACTAGACAAAATTGCATCGTTTTAATTAATCTGCACGATTATTTCAATTACAGGGAGATTTTCGTGCTGCATATAATGTCTTGAGCATGTAACGGCTGCTACGAACACTAACTCAATCGTTCTCCTATGTACAGGTCGTATCTGTATTCATTTCAGAACTCCTAATCGCTTTAAAGCTGTCTACAACTAAACCGAGTCAATTATCCTGTCAACTCTCTACTCTGAATCCTCTTACCTGATGGAAATTATAGCGCTACATTTGGTAACACCGAGCGAGGTAACTGTTTCTAAATTTTCAATTTCGTAAAACACTCGGAAAAGGTAAAAAAAAAAATCCATATATCTATACAATTGAGGTCTCAACCATAATATTAAGTTTCTCTAACGCGTACAGAAGTAAAAATTCTTTTTCGAAACTTGTGAACTTATTTGTAAAAATCAGGATAGAAAGTAGAATGACATATTGAAGAAAGAACCATTTGTTTCCGACACAAAAAGCCTCGTGAAACTTAAGTGAACACTTAATGGTTTCTCCAAACATTCCGAGAAGCCGTCGGAATTTATTTCAACTGTTGATACATTTGTATAATTCATTTTAGATTCATCTTTAAAGCCAACGAGACAAATTTTTATCGTTTCGTAAATCTAACTTCAGAAGCTAATTCACTTCGATCGATGTCCAGACATCGATGAAAAAGCGTACTTCCGTTCGTCACGCCAAAAACGAAACGGTGGAACCATTTATTTCGCTCGCCAGACCCGACACAGTGGTTTAATTTATCTCGACAGGCGGTCTTGCAGGGAGACAAACACAAAAGCACGCACGGAAAGCTAACGACGGAAATTATTATCGTTTCGTCGTAGTCGAACGTAAGTAGATTTACTCGACAACGCTGTTTAATCTTAATTGTAGACTACATTGCCGAAACTGCAGAGAGGAAGCAATCAGATTCGAAAAAATATTACGAAATACGTGTTGGAGCACGGTTCTTTGTTCTTCGAATTGAAGACCACGATTACAATATTCACGTTTCAAAAATTATCCGCAATTGATTTGCAATTATTAACGTGCAGTCTTACTGAAAATTTTTACCTGTGAAATTTTCATTGTCATCGTAATATTCACATACATTCTTTTTGAGGCGTTTCACGATATCAACGTTATCCTTTTAATCAGCATATGCGCAGCTTAATTTGCTTTCAAATAAATTGAGAGATACGACCTATCTGACTGTTTTTATCCCTTTTCCATTGTCTGTAGCGTTTTAAACGTTAATTTTCCTACATAATCCTCAATTTCATTGCATTGTTCACGCGATAAAATGCTGGCTATTAGCCAGCAAATATTTACGCATTTTTTCCATGAACTTAATTAGTGCGAATTTTTATTAAAAATTGCAAAACCGTGCATAATATAGGATAATATACAAAACGTACAAAGTATATTTAATATTTAATGGATGAAATAAATTTTTATTTAGATTCCCCATTTCTTGCATTAGATTCAAAAGAACAAATGAATCTGCATAAAACGCAATAATTATGTCGACACTTCATTATGCTTTGTAAATAAACGCGCAATAATTTTAGAAATTAATTCTTCCCAAAAATTCGCTTCTCAACTCGAGAACATTTAACCACACTTCAGTACGATTCTAGAGAAATATAATTATTCACGGCGGAGAGAGAATCGAACCGGCAGCTAAGATTCCTCGAGGCTGCGAAGTTCGCTGGAACACGAGGCGTAAAGAAAAATCATGCATACGAGCTGCAATAATGGAATGCCTCCAACTTTCGGTCAATAAAGAAGTTCCGAGAACAATTTTGCAATGCAATAACCCCTCGCGACGCGGCAATCGACAAAGTTTCCCTCGTGAAGCCTAGCTTTTCCCGCGTTCACCTACCCGACAATCTTAAAATTCAACGAATCTCCTCAGGAGGAGGAGGAGTAGGAGGGAAGGGGGAAGGATCGCTTTCCCACTTGCGAACAGAGATTTCCCTGCTGATGTTTGCCTCTTCGAATCGTTTCGTGCACGGCCGAGTTTGATCAGTCATAAAAATCAAACGCAGTGCTCGCCATTGCCGCTCACGATTGGAATCGCCTAACAACAAGTTTGAATGCGTTGGCGCTGCAATCACGTCTCTCGCTCTTTCTAAACGATTTTGTAAAAATATTGTAAATATTTATTATATTAAAGCAAGATTTTATAACTGTGTTATACTTTTGTATAACAGATTCAAAATAATCCTATATTCTGCAACAATTTGTTCATAATTACTAAATTAAAAAACAAATTTTAGTTTGACAAAAGATTCTACGCTCAGATGAACGGTTCATAAACTAAAATGATTAACTCAACTACTGTAGAAATTTTTTCAAATTTTACTATCTACCAAAGCTCATGATCGATATCCTCAACTGTTTTATTTCAGATACAATTCGTTAATAATTGGCTATATCACTAAATGACCAAAACTTTTTCAACCGTGGAATTAACAAGTAATTTATTTCGAAAGGCAAAATGATTATCCCTGAAACGGACTATTTCATACATTTTATACGTCTCGATAATACGCTCTACATTTGACTTCAAAGCGATTCAGAAAAGGAATTTTAAAAACGCAATCTCTTTGTTTTACGGAGTTAATCGACTTTACGAATGACATAAATTTCATTTCTAAAATGAAAATAATTGATTAATTGATAATTGATAAAATGAAAATAGTTGATTGAATGTATAATTTCAGTCGCAAACGTTTTTAATTGCGCGTTCACGGGCCATTTGCTCCTGTGTGTCACGTCGCATCGTGTTTTCTCGTTCCCACGTGAAAATGTTCTTGATGAAAAATAAAACGAAGGGAACAAGTGCAAAAGAAGCGGATACCGGTTCGTTTGAGAGAAATCGAATTTCGAATCGATGTAATTTTTCTTCACAACTTCGAATTCCGTCTTGTTCCGTTCCCCGATGAAATTGCCAAATGTGAAATCTCTCTTGATATGAAACTCCAAATATTGTCGCGACTTAAATATCGTCTTAAATACTGTACGCTTTAATTCGTAACTTAATCGTCTATTAACGTCGAAATCAATTAATACTAAAATTGCTGGCGATTAAAGTACAAAACTCGTAATAGAAGAAATGAAAGTGCAAGTAACAGGAAAAAGTTTGTAATATAATAAAGAAAAAAAAAACGTATGCTTAATAAGTAAAAAACAAAACTGTACTGCGATTCAATAGTTGTACATCATTAAATTAACACCAAAGTGACTTGCAAATTAGCAGTTATCACGTTATTGTAACAGAATATAAGATCCTGAAAAATTCCTATTAGGGAAAGGGATTGTTATTGCCTTATTTTCTCTCTTAGAATCGACCCAATCGGGCTCAATTGTATCATCAGTTACGAATCACGCCGCACCGTCAACGTCTTAAACAAATAGTTTCAACATCTTCAAATTCAAATGGCAATGATCTTGAAACGTTAAAAGTCATCAAAATCGATTGGATTTCGAACTATGGAACCAAATTTTAACACGGAGCCGCTGGTATGGCGTTATCGGTACGTTTCACAAGCGGAAAAGTTCGATGTACCGAAGCATCGACCGGACAAAATGTAGGCTAGCAGTATGTCACGAGAACGCCGGAATTGGTTGGCCGCCAAGTCGCGGATAGTCAATGGAACGAAGATGGGAAAGGAACGAACCACTGGCTCTGTAACCTAAATTCTCGCGTAGCGCGGACTCGCGACCATCTCTTTGAAGCAGCCTGTACCGCTTCCCTGTTGGATCAATGATACCCGTGGTTAACTGTACACAATGTTGCATCGCGATAGACCGTCTCTGATACGCGGAAACCGTGCCCCGCCGTGGCCGTTCGCGACTGCTTTACGTTCCGAACAGTTCGAACAAAAAAACACTCATACGGAAATATCCTCTGTCTGGCTCCACAGAGCACGCCCGACAAAGCCCACGAATTAATCCAAATAACGTAGCTGAGAGCGAAGTTGAACCGATTTCTCTCGTTTCATACGGCGTATGGCGAAAAATTCAGATGCCTTTTGTTGTCGCCAACGAAGAATATCGAGCGAAAATTCACTGTCAATCCGATGAATGTCGTACCTGACGATGAGGAATTTATTTCTACGAATCGGTGAAACACTTTGTACCGACAGGCTAAAATGATTGATTTGTTCTTTTTTTTTTTTTTTTTATTGTTAATCGTGTCATAGTCATTTTGTCTCGCGTTCAGTTTATTGATTTAACGAATGCGTTCTTGGTCCTATATTTTACATAATTTAATTGTTCGACTGATGCGACCTGAAATTCTTCGCGTCGTTTCGACTGCCATTGATGCCCCCACGAATTTCACAATTTAATAATTTTTAATGACAATCCCCCACAGATAACGAACGCTTGCGAAAGGACGCGAGAAAACAGCGCAGACGCGCACGCAGTTTCAGCCACCTCGTCTGAATATTTACACGAATAAAATGAAGATACAGGAAGCAAGTAGAAGCAAGGACTCGCAAGGGATTGCTTGCCAGACCTGCGTCTTCGTATCTTGCTTCAGGTACGCCGACATTACTTCTCGGTCTTTATTTCTTCTTGCTTCTGACCCAGTTGTCTTTGCTGTTTCCATAAATTACATCGTTCTCATGAATTAAGAAAAGCATTTCACGGAATCATCAACTAGGAGAAAATGACTAAATCTTTCTTCGTAAAATGTCATCACAACAGTGGTGCCTCATCTCGCTTCATTGTTAATAAAATTTCAAAGTATCTCATATATAACATACGTGACATGTATACAGAGTCCATTTGAATGAGGCCACCTAAATATTTTTTCGAGCTGTGATGATGCAAAAATATTTTTTAAAATATTTTTAAGAATATAAATACTACCGAAAAATCAATAACTGATTAAAATCTTTTCCAAGGAGTTTTTTCAAGATTAGTGAATGAATACGTTCAGATATGTAAAGAACATTATCTTGAAAATTAGACGTATAATTTTACTTTCATTAAAACCACAAACCTTGGCCAAGACATGACAATCGAGAGTCTTATATAATAAATATAAATAAAGATATTCATTTACGATAAAAGAGGTAATAAAATATAAAATCTTCTGTGTTCAAAGATTCTCCACGAATCACTGTATACCAGTGTAAAATTACAATAATTTTCAGAAACAAATGGATGCTAGCGAGAAAAAGATAAATAAGGTAACGTTTAAAAAGACTCGAACAACAGTATGTTAGTCCTGGCACGTCGATTCCGCGGCCTGTACACTACGTACCCTACATATATGATTACTCCAGCGAAAAGCGGTCAGAGAACACGTTACGATACCTGCGAGAATATTCCTTTGGCTATCGTAACTTTTCTTCATCTTTTTGCCTTTTGGACTTTCTCCTCGCGTGCATCGTCTACCACCGCGAAAAATGAAATATGCCCGAACCTCTGGAGATTCCCACGTTAAACTCGAGCGCAGACATCCTCTTCCTCTACATCATCGGAAGCTGATCGAACGGGGGGCGAATTTTAAACGACGAAAATTCTCTCGATCTATATTTGATCATCCCATCGTTCGAACGTTCGATTTCCCGATCTACGCAGCGGGGATTGTTTTGAAATTTTCATGGACAGTGGCTCGCGCCACAGTTGGTACTCGAACAGAATTTTTTAGCGGGGAGCGAAAGCCAGGATAAAAATGCGAACGGAAGCTAGCTCGTCCCATTTTCCGTCTCTCTCTCGTCTCTCAGAGTTTGCAATTTCTGTGCCAAGCAACTCTATTTAAAAATTTGTAAAATCGAGCCTCGAAAGATCGCGCCAAGTGATACGAACTATTCTGCTTTCGCAGTTTGTTAACGCTCTACATTCTGTAACTAGAATTTCATTTGCTTGCGAGAGGAAAAGAGTATTGAATAGCCGTGTTTATTCCGATTTGAAACAGTTGTCACGAACAACTTCACTTGTTCTTGATAGTTTTCTAACGATTAATTTGCGAAATTTTATGTAAATTTGAAAACTTTAAACTTCGTGCATCGAATATTGCAGAAACTACTGGATTTTCGACGTTTTGTATATATTTTCTTAGATCACGTGCATTTCTACACCTTCTGAATCTTCTACAAATGCGTGAAAATCTACGGCACAATGATGTCGTACTGAGGAAACACGATGAAACAACAAGTACGCAAAATAAACTTTTCGAAATTCAGA